ATGTGAGTGACTCCCATCAGCCTGAACCAGCCTTCTGCACTCCAAAGGTAGGAAACACATAAAAAATGTGTTTGTTTGTATGTATGTGTCTGTTTGTATGTCTGTATGTGTTTGTTTGTATGTATGTATCTGTATGTATGTATGTGTCTGTCTGTATGTATGTATGTGTATGTTTGTGTCTGTCTGTCTGCATGTATGTGTCTGTCTATATGTCTGTTTGAATATATGTATGTCTGTTTGTATGTGTGTATCTGTTTGTATGTATGTATCTGTTTGAATGTGTCTGTATGTAAGTGTCTGTTTGTGTGTATGTGTCTGTATGTATGCATGTGTGTATTTGTTTGTATGTATCTGTTTGTATGTATGTGTGTGTCTGTTTGTATGTGTGTATGTGTATCTGTTTGTATGTGTGTGTGTGTTACTGTATCTGCATGTGTCTTTATGTGGCCCTGTGTATCAGTATGTGTTTCTGTGTGTTCGTATGTGTTTTTTTGTATATATGTGTATCTGTGTGTCTCTGTGTCTGTTTGTATATGCATATGTCTATATGTGTATATGTTTGCATGTGTATCTGTGTGTATGTTTGTATGTGTGTCCGCATTTCTTTGTATCTGCATGTGTATCAGTGTGTATCTGTATGTGTGTCTGTGTATCTGCATGTGTCTGTGTTTGTGTCTGTGTGAGTGTCATTCTGTGTATTTGAATGTGTATCATTCTGTATGTATGTGTAGCTGCATGTGTGTCTGTGTATCTGTATATGTGCCAGTGTCTGTATCTGTGTGTATCTGTGTATCTGCATGTGGGTCCGTGTATGTATCTGTATGTTATTGTGTGTACCTGCATGTCAGTCAGTGTGTTTGTTTGTGTGTTAGTGTTTCTGTTTATCTGCATGTTTGTCAGTAAGTGTATCTGTGCATCAGTGTATGTATGTGTGTATCTGTGTATCTGCATTTGTGTCTGTGTATCTCTCTATGTATGTCTGAACCTGTGTATGTGTGCATCTCTATGTATGTCAGCGGATGTTAGCGTGTGTATTTCATCTCAGTAAGAAATGAGAGGGCTAAATGTGTGTTTTTTTCTTTTTTTGTGTGGGCATTGATGGCGTGATTGCATGCTAGGAAGGGGAAGGGCTACGTCAAGGAGCCCCAATCAAATACCTGCCCAGGGTCCAATCATTATTAAAGACGGCCCTGCTTGAGTCATCTTCTACCAGATGCCCATCTGAATTCTCCACTCCTTCACTTATCCATTACTTTTCTATTTCAGTTCTGCTCTTTGTCAGTGGTGTATCTAGGATTTGGGCTGCCCTAGGCAGGACGGTGCTTGGGCACCCACACTAAATCTCCACCCCAATTTAAATTTTTCCTACCCCTTCCTGTCAAGGCCGCACTTTGACAGATGCTCACTCACTGACAGACGCATACACTCAGTGACAGACACACACTCTAATATACACTGACAAACAATGACATACACACACACTATTACTTGAACACACACTGACAGACGCGCACACACTGACAGACGCACACACACTGACAGCCAGACATATACACTGACGTACACACACTGACAGCCAGAAACACACATGCAGGCAGTTGTCCAGCTAAAAATCCGGGCGGGCAGCGCTGGCGAGGGAGCACTTTCCCCTGAGCTCTCTGCTCAGCTCCCTGACGACATATTCCGGCTCCCGGCATCACTCTGCGGCGCGCGAAGGAGCTGAGCAGAGAGCTCACTAATCAGTTCTCCCTCGCCACTGCCGCCCACCCGGATTTTTAGCCGGACAACCGCCTGCATGGCCTGTTAGTCAGCCGCCTGGCTAACAAGGCATTTGCCCAGGCATTTGGAGGGGGCATTTTTTGCCACCCCCTGGAAAGTGCCGCCCAAGGCAAATGCCTTGTTTAGATAACAGATATATCACCAAAATATACAAATAGTGAAAAAGTAACAAACAATAATACTTAGCTTTTAAATAACGTGCAACAGCCTCCCTAGGTCGTTACCCAAAAGACAACCTATATCATATATAGGAAACCACAACAAAAACAATTCGGGATATGGCTGTGTGAATCTACAGAAAATACATAAAGCCAAACATAGTATGATATTGTTACAAAATACAATATTCTGTGCGCAACAATCTATTGCACCCACTAGATATAGATAAGTATAAAAGCTCTTAGGGTGCCTCCCCTGGTATAGTGGGGGGGCCAAACGATCCTTCTGTTCACCCCTGGATTCTTATTCCACCAACAGACATCCACAGGTCAGGGTTAAAATTTGAGAAAATGTATTCAATAAAAGAGAAAATATATATATATATATATATAAGCAGTCACCAATTTAGCATAGGATATAAATGCAGAAAAAAAAAATAGTCCTACGCGTTTCGTTCGTTATGAACTTCCTCGGGGTCTGCAATAAAATAATTACCATGTACAAATACACAGTACAAAATGAACATATCCTAAAACAACTCCCTGTGTCCTTAAATAGGGCTAATCCCTCAAGTCCATTGGTGGATTCAGTGGGTGTGTGGATCCTTTTCCTTTTCAATTGGAGGAGGAAAACACCTCCATCAGCTGTTTCTCACTCTTCCAATTTAAAATTAGTGCCCTTTTCGGCAAAAACCGGAAGTCGTCATCATCGCCTAAACCAGAAGTGACATTGCGGATACTTCCGAGTTCCAGTATGCGTTCCAGCGGTATTGTCGCCATAGTAAGCAGACGTTATCGTCTCGGCCACAGTTCATGTAATGCAAAGAGAACTAATTACAGCCCCCAAAATTCTGCTAAAGAGAAGGATGTTAGTTATATATGATTTAAAGCATTCTCATTTATTATATGCAGAGATATTGACAGAACTTATTGTTAATCAAAATATATTAATCATTAATTAATCCAAGAGGATTTTGAAGGTTCGTTTGTTAGAACATCTTAATAATATCAAAAAAGGACTAATGACGCACTCAGTCCCGGCCCACTGTACACAATGCCCCTTTTTTTCATTTAGGGATTTCAGGTGCTTGGGAATCGAACGAGTATCCCCCTTTTGGCTTGGGGGCAAATTTTTGGGTGTATTTGTATTTTATGTATTTTTCTGTTTGATAGTTTTTTGGTTAAACATTGATTTAATATATTTATAGACTTTAATGATTTTAATTAGTGATTAATATTTTCCTGACATTATTCATGGCAGCATTTACTCATGGGTTAGCTCCTCCCCTCACAGCAGAAAGGACAGGAAATAGAACTCTGAAACTGGTATAAATAGATCCTCCCCCTTCCCATCAGGCAGTCTTTTTTCCTGTCCTTCACAGCAGTTTGGAAGGAGTCTGCTTATGCAGGCCTAGATTTTCTTTTATGCTCACCAGGCAATATTTTTGTAGCCATGCCGGGGTTCAGCCTCTAAGCCCTGAAGACCCAGCAATGCACTATTGTTAATACTGCAAACCTGGGTACCCCCTTTAGTGACCGGGGGTCGGACCCAACCTCTCCCTTAAGGGATGAAAATGGTCCACTGCATGCCAGGGTTCATCCTCTTATCCCTGAAGACCCAGCAACAGGCCAGCTTGGGTACCCCCTCAGGGGATGAATGCGATATGCTGCCTACATGAAGCCAGGCCTGGGTTCAGCCTCTTATCCCTGAAGACCCAGCAACAGCCCAGCTTGGGTACCCACTCAGGGGATGAATGTGATATATTGCCTACATAATACCAGGCCAGGGTTCAGCCTCTTATCCCTGAAGACCCAGCAAACAGCACATCTGTAACAGTTGCCAGCCTGGGTACCTCCTTCAGCAATCAGGAGTCTGACCTATCTCTCTCCCTGAGGGGATGACAGCGGTCCACTGCATACATGAGGCCCAGCCGAGTCTAAGCCTTTATTCTTGAAGACCCAGTAAACAGCACTTCCATAAGGTGACTACCTGGGTATACCTATTCTTGGTGTTCCACCTTGTATGGGGTTGGTTAAACCTCCTCCCACTGGTGATGATGGACTGCATATGGGGTACAGATGGAAGCCTATAGTTTAAACAGTTTAGGCTGTCAGTTGTTCAAAGCCCCATTTTGCTGTTGAAACACAGGCCTGCAGCTGTTCAGGTAAGTGCATTTGTAATTAGATTAAAACTAGTATAGGCACCTGGGTCTCTGTTCTTTCAGTCCCTCCCAGCGGCTTACATTAGGCTTCCTTCTAACAAATAGGTCACATTTAGGAGGTTTGTGTGGTGAGCATTTAGGTAAGTTATACATGAAAGGATGCTTGGTACAAAAGAGTGCTGATAATGCAAGGAGGCATTGTGCAAAAGAGTGCTTATGATGCAATAAGGCATTGTGAAAAAGAGTGCTAATAATGGATATCCTGGCTGTATAAAGTCTGCTGGAATTTCACAGTCCTGAAGAAATATCCAAGGTAAGAGAACTTCCCTGGGTGACTGAAGTACTCACATGTATATGATTTTAAAGTCCACACACACACTTGTTCCTATCAAGATATGTGGCATTGATTGCTGATATCTGTGCATTATCACAAATAAGCAGGCTTTTTCAGAGAGTGGAGGAATATACTGCATATGAGACCACGGGGCCTCAGTATCCATACATGATCTGGTGGTGGTACAGCATCGGTGTGTTTTCACTTTATGCTCTAACATATGAACAGAGTGTGTCCAGTAAATGCTCTAGGTATGAGTTACTATAAGGACACGGCCTCAGTATATGTATCCACTATATGCTCTATGTAGGAGTTACTAGGAGGATACGGCCTCAGTATATGTATCCGCTATGTGGTCTATATAAGAGTTACTGTGAGTACACCACCTCGGTATAAGTATCCTATATATGAGATATATATATGAGTTTCTATTGAGACACAGCCTCAGTATATGTGTCCACTATATGCTCTATGTGTGAGTTTCTATGGAGAGAGCCTCAGTATATGTATCCGCTATGTGGTCTATATAAGAGTTACTGTGAGTACACCACCTCGGTATAAGTATCCTATATATGAGATATATATATGAGTTTCTATTGAGACACAGCCTCAGTATATGTGTCCACTATATGCTCTATGTGTGAGTTTCTATGGAGAGAGCCTCAGTATATGTATCCATTATAGGCTCTATGTATGAGTTACAATGAGGACGCTGCCTCAGTTTATGTATGCACTATATGCTCTATGTATGAGTTACTGTGAGGACACAGCCTCAGTATAGGTATCCACTATATGATAAATGTATGAGTTGCTATGGAGACACAGCCTCCGTTTATGTATGCACTATATGCTCTGTGTATGAATTACTATGAGGACATGGCCTCAGTATATGTGTCCACTATAGGCCATATGTACGAGTTACTATGGAGACACAGCCTCAGTTTATGTATGCACTATATGCTCTGTGTATGAATTACTATGAGGACATGGCCTCAGTATATGTGTCCACTATAGGCCATATGTACGAGTTACTATGGAGACACAGCCTCAGTTTATGTATGTGCTTTATGCTCTGTGTATGAGTTACTATGGAGACACAGCCTCAGTTTATGTATGTGCTTTATGCTCTGTGTATGAGTTACTATGAAGACACAGCCTCAGTATATGTACACACTATAGGCTCTGTGTATGAGTTACTATGAAGACACAGCCTCAGTATATGTACACACTATAGGCTCTGTGTATGAGTTACTATGAGGACATAGCCTCAGTATATGTATCCACTATATTGTCTACGTATGAGATGATCGGAAGTCTCGGCTCAGTTTGTGTTCTTTATTTGCTCTAAAAACATAGCCTCAGTATATGTCTCAACATGCTCTATATGTAAGTTGGTGTGGACATTGCTTCAGTGGATCTGTTCACTATATGCTTGATGTATTAGTGGAAACACAATATATGTGACTGATATATGACACATCCTCTATGAGTCCAATCTAATACAGGTTTTTTTTGTGTGGGTTATTAGTCACAACCTCAGTATATATGAGTGGTATATTATGTGCATGAAGTTCTGTTGAAAACAGCCTCAATTTATCTCACTCATATAATCTTAATATGTGTACAGGCATAGTGTCACTGTATATAGCAGAGGTACGCTATTACTATTTGAACAGACTCAGTATATGTAACTGATATATCTGTGTATAAGGTGCTGTTAGAAACATCCACAATGTATGTGATTCACATAATCTGTATGCAGGTTGGTAGTATTAGATAACCCTAATTTATACACGGCATTGATATTTAATATATACAAATGATCTAAGGTCTGGGTTTTGCGCTGAAATGTAGCACTGCCTAATTTTAGCAAATACAAATGCACTGTTATACTGGGTAAGTAATTATTGCCTCCTGTGGATTTTCTATTTCAGTTTTTTTAAATGAAGTGGATAAGGAAACATACTGCTTTTGGCTTTGTATTAGATTCCTTCTCCCACAGGTGTTTCGGGATAAGCAATTAACACATTTTACCACTTCAGATGGATTGCAGGTGTTACTGAACCTGCCTGAGTGCCTCTCCCAGGAGAGAAGGAGACCTGAATTTCCAAAATGGAGCATGGTACTGTTTAACAAAATTAAGGCCTTTTTTTGTGTGCACTCCTATGTATTTATACATGAGACCATTTCTGAGAAGTTTTTCTATTGCCAAGTATCCTCTCCTCTCTTATCAAGATAAGGAATGTTTTGGTGGCAGTGTTTTATCTTCAGATATATGCTGTTACTGATGCACAGCTTAGAAGATCATGCTGGTTGCAGGAGCACAAATTGGGCTATTAATCGTTCTCATAAGTAGGTAACTCTGAAGCTATTACCTGATTTAAAAAGCTGTTCATATTGGCTTGTTTCTCTCCTGGTCATAACTTTAGTATCATTTTATTTTTCCGCAAACTTCTACTCTGAAGAATTCACTACTTCTGGTCTGGTTTGTGCTCTGGTTCTGGTTCTCTGGAATTGGTTTAACATATTCTTTAGAACTGCGTACCTTTCCTTAAAGTATAATCTTTATAATTTGGAGAATGTACTAATTTTTTATATGCAGTATTCTCTTTTATCCCTTGGGGACCTGAGAGTTTGGCAATCCCTTTAGGATATGTCAGGGGTAGCATGCTTTTTGTTCTTAAGGAATTTAATGTTCAGAAATTTCTGACAAGATTCCCTTGTGGTGAAAGGGTATATTATAATTTCCTTTCTGCAATTAAATGTATTCTTTTATGCTCATATGATCCAGGTAAGTTTTTGATACTTAGTATTGCAAGTATTGTAATTGACACTGGAAGGTCTTTCTAGTCCTCAGGCCATTCTACCAGGTTTACTATTTCAAGTAAAATTCACCTGCTATCAGAACAATAGAGGAAATCCCTTAACAGGTAACTCCATTACGGTCCTCTCTTCTGATCTTCATGGGGATTCTTCTAGTGGTCCTTATATCTGGAATTTGCAACCGAGGTGTGGCTTTAAGTGGTTGATTCATCCTACATAATATAATGTAATGCAGCTTGTTGATGACAAACATTTGACTGATATGTTTTTCATGGTCTCTGTACCTAGATCGGTATAAGTTATGGTCACTCCTAACATTGCATTGATTTAATACTTATGGATTATATACTTGTATTGGTGTTGATATCTTGCAGATAATACAAACTGCTTATTATCGCCATAAGCTCTGCCATAGTACTTCGCTACCTGAAGATAAGGTAAGAATAATACAAACTGCTTATTATCGCCATAAGCTCTGCCATAGTACTTCTTCGCTATCTGAAGATAAGGTAAGAGTAAGTATGCGGTTGTTTGTTCTCATAAGGATAACTGAATATCTTCTACTATCCTGATTATGTGTCGGTTGCCACAATGGATCATGTGCCTCTGGTTACCACCTTCTCATCAGTATCCTGCCGATTACATATCTCCTACTTATGTTACACAACGGTCTCTAATAAATTTGATTATACTGTTTGGCATAATCTGTACTATTTACAACGTTTCTTTGAATGTAGGTACTGACGTGATTGTCCTACTTATAATTTAGGAGTTTACACAAATTCCACGGTTCATACCGATGTCTCTTTTTTCTTTCTTTAACTAATCTGTATATGACTCTTCTTGCCCTTGCCTAGTAATGTCATTGGTTTATACCTCTCCTGTGCCTGATCATTATTGTATCAATTCATCCACGGTGTGAGGTATTGTTGTGAGTCTGATTTTTGCAATATATATGTGTATGTGTGTATATATATATATATATATATATATATATATATATTCATTCATTATTGCAGTGTTTTAATAACACTTATTTCTCTACTAGGCTCTGCCTCTTTCTGACAGGCAGGTATTGATTTATTTCCTGTATCCACAGGTAAGTAGTTCACAAGGCAAGAGGAAGCAGTGTGAATCGTCATTAATAATTACATCCAGAGAGTTGCGAGATTCTCAGTGTAATTCTCGCCATGTTTAATAGCATGGTGTGTATGTTCTCATCCAACCTTCTGTTATGCCTTTTTGTCAAGGTTCTGATCTGATAAGGTCATCAATTTGGTTTTAAAATTTTATATCAAAATGGCATTATCCTTCTCTGACTTATGCTATCATGGCCTTAATTCCTATATGACTATATTTAGGATATTTCAGATATTGAATGCCAGGAGGTTGCTGACCTTGCAGCCTCTAGGTTAATTAACTTGTCTGAGCAGAATGTATGACAACATCCTATTGATGTCTTGTTTGGCTTTTTTTGAGTCTTCTAAGGTTTATGCAGCTCAATAATGGTTTTATAGCTATTGGCTGTTTTTGAACTCTGTCCCTCCCTCGATATATACTGCTTGGGTATTCCCCATGAGTAAATGCTGCCATGAATAATGTCAGGAAAAAAGGAAAATTTGCTTCATACTTACCGTAATTTTCTTTTTCTGATCATTATTCATGGCAGCATTACGTTCCCACCCATATACTATAAGATGTGAAGCTAGTTACTAAGACTGCCTGATGGGAAGGGGGAGGATCTATTTATACCAGTTTCAGAGTTCTATTTCCTGTCCTTTCTGCTGTGAGGGGAGGAGCTAACCCATGAGTAAATGCTGCCATGAATAATGATCAGAAAAAGAAAATTACGGTAAGTATGAAGCAAATTTTCCTTTATTTTGATTAACAATAAGTGCTGTCAATATCTACTGCATATAATAAATGAGAATGCTTTAAATCATATATAACTAACATCCTTCTCTTTAGCAGAATTTTGGGGGCTGTAATTAGTTCTCTTTTCATTACATGAACTGTGGCCGAGACGATAACGATAACGTCTGGTTACTATGGAGACAATACCGCTGGAACGCATATTGGAATGCGGAAGTATCCGCAACGTCACTTCTGGCGATGATGACGACTTCCGGTTTTTGCCGAAAAGGGCACTAATTTTAAATTGGAAGAGTGAGAAACAGCTGATGGAGGTGTTTTCCTCCTCCAATTGAAAAAGAAATGGATCCACACACCCACTGAATCCATGGATTTAAGGGATTAGCCCTATTTAAGGACACAGGGAGGGGGGTTGTTTTAGGATATGTTCATTTTGTACTGTGTATTTGTACATGTTTATTATTTTATTGCGGTCCCTGAGGAAGTTCATAACGAACGAAACGCGTAGGACTATTTTTTTCTGTATACATATCCTATGCTAAATTGGTGACTGCTTATATATATTTATATATATTTTCTCTTTTATTGAATACATTTTCTCACATTTTAACCCTGACCTGTGGATGTCTGTTGGTGGAATAAGAATCCGGAGGTGAACAGAAGGATCGTTTGGCCCCCACTATACCAGGGGAGGCACCCTAAGAGCGCTTATACTTATCTATATCTAGTGAGTGCAATAGATTGTTGCGTACAGAATATTGTATTTTGTAACAATATCACACTATGTTTTGCTTTATGTTTTTTTCTGTAGATTCACAAATGCCTTGTTTGCCTTGTGGCTAATACGTCCCTGCTCTTTGTCCCTACCACTGGGCAAACTGCCTCCTTTCATTCAAACAATCTATTTACTTAAAGGGACACTATAGTCACCAAATAGTCACCCACAGCTTAATGGTGGGTATAGTATGTCACTGCAGGCTTTTTAATGTAAACACTGCCTTTTCAGACAAAAGGTAGTGTTTACTTTACTGCCAAGGGACACCTCCAGTGGCTGTCACTCAGACACTAGAGGTGCTCCCTGGGTCAGTGATGCATAATGTGCAACACTGATGTGCAGTGTCTCCACTCTCTGCCTGGATACGCTTGATGATCCCCATAGGAATGCATTGATTCAATGATTGGCAAGCACAGCATTTTGTCACGTATGCGCATTAGCGTTTCCAATGCTTTCTCTTAGATTGACTGAGACTGTCAATTATTATGATGTCAGCCAAAGAGACAGATTAGGTGCTGAGCCAGTGCAGGCGAGCCCACATAGCGCTGGAATAAAGGTGAGTAAACTCACCTTTTACATCGGTAACAGGGG